GGGGGGGGGGGGTTAGTTAAGAGACACCCGTACGTTTCAAGGAAGTAAAATTAATCGCTGTTTTCATTGAAATCTTGTAGTGTTTTAGCGTAATCATAATATCATAATCATAATAGTCATATTAACCATGTAGTTTTATGCCTGAGTTATTTGGATGATTAGTTTGGATTCGTAGTTTGCCATTTCTTAGCTATTCCATCTGTTCTGATGGTCGCTGTGATTCTGACGTACGTTCGGTGACGAGATTGTATGCTTAACGCTTCTCCAAGTAGCAGCACTTAGCTGGGATTTAGCATTTTCGAGATGCTTTTGTTAAACCTTAAGACTTTGCTACGGTCGCTGCCACTCTTAGATTACAGCGAGGTACTTTGCCAGTGAGGAAATTATATCAAAATATTACTTACGCAAATACATATCTATAACTTGCTAAAGCATATTTATGTAATGTACGTTAACGTGAATTTCTGAATTTCTGTTAACTGACAGTTAACGTGAATTTCATGAAAATTGCCTTCTCATAACTACATCGAATTTCTACCCATATCATATGTTACTTTCCTCCACACTCTTATTGCTTTCATGCTGCTGTTGCACTTTTCCACTCTTCCTCTCTCTTTTTCTTTCACATCTCCGTCTTGTGCAAAATAGTTACATGTCCTTTCAATACATGGCAAGCAGGAGGCTGTACTGACGATTCCCACTCCTACCTGCATGCACAGTCCGTTCTGTGTTTACAGCTAAGGGATAAAACACAGACACTGCATCGTAAAATGTCTTTTTGTACATGACACCTAAGCCGAATCTTTCTGCTCTACTATTCCTATTATCAAAAAATTTGGTTACTGTCCCGGGCTTGTTTCATATAGATAATTCCTGTTTCATTTTTTTTTTCAGTTATGTAACATGCCATCATTGGATGCTTGAAAAATTTGCGCTCTGTTAAATTAGGTAAGACACCTCGCACTGCCTGTGTTTACGGTTAAGGGATGAAACACAGACAACTTTACGTATCCTCTAAACATAACCATTTTACTTGTGTACTGGTTTGTTTCGCATCAACAACGCAGTTATCTTACCCGCTACCATTCTTTATCAAATTCTATTCTTCCAACCTTAAACCATATGGAATTCAGCTGTGCTGGACTTGCTTCGGTTTTTACAGTCCTCTACTTTGTTTGTTATTTCTCGGCCTACCCACGGCCAGAAATTACCACTGCGACTGAACACTGCGACCATCATACTGACGAGGTCCAGTCGCGGTGTTGTGCTAAGACGTATATGACTTCAAGGACCGAAACATCTTAACTCTCTCTTACTTATTTTTCCTGTACCAGCAATATTTCTACATCTTGCATTGCATAGTTCAATCTATTCTTGCCTTCTTTTTTAAGTCCTTATTACTTTCATGCTACAATCATGCGATAATCAGCTTACCACTGTAGATATGCCACATCCCTGACATATCAACTTGGAATGACTAATTTTCGACTGGGCTTCCTTGACTATTTCTTCCCTTTCTGTTTTTTCAGAAGGGTTTGAGTTACGATGCTGAACCTGAAGGAAACAAATGATCAAAATTACGTGAGACAGCTGAATTTTTTGAACAGTTGGTTTATTTTTAGTGAACAGAAAGAGGATGATGTTGTTACGCGTAATCTGAAAGCAAATGGAGCAAGAAGTTTAGCTGAAGCTGTTAGAGGTGAAGAAGAGCGAGAATGCATGGAGCAAGTATTTCTCAGCCGAGCCGTTTCTTCTACGGCCGAATTATCTCGAGAACATGTTGATACAGGTAAAAATTTATACAAATTTTTTGCCGGAGGCAATAAAAGTTATGGGTTTTGGCACACCATGTTTGTGTTTATAATACGTTTTTTTGTTGGATCAGAGCCAAGCCCGTTTATGTTTCATTTCTTGTGAGAGACGATAAAAGTCGGATTGTTGTTGCATTATCACTTGACCGGTAATAACCTTTCACTGGCACACTGTGTATGATTCCCACTCCCGAGCACTGCTTAAGAAGTAGGCTGATTTCGGGTTGGTTAGGCATACCTTACCGATTTTCCTTTAAAGCAAAAACTTTGGGAGTTTTCTAATAAGCATATTTGAACCGAAGACTTATTACTCAGTCGTGACATGCGTACTGAGCCCGTCGGCCTTTTTTTTGTAGTTGGAAATGAATATTTTGTCCAACATCGGCTTTTTCCCATATTAATTTTTTTCTCATTTTTTGAAAAAAACTGTTATGTTCCAAAGTTTTCAACACGCGCAAGTGCTGAAGCGTTTCGCGTAGCTGAATTTGAACTTGAGCACATAAGTCAGAAGTTGATTTTGCATTTTTGGGCTTACTTTTTTGTCTTTAGCGGACTCGACAGAATTTCCGGTGCCACCCCCACGTCTCAAAAAGCATGCAACAAAACAAAGCGAACAACAGAACTCTCCGTCTGAAGATCATTTTTCGATGAGAGAACGCTGGAGAAAACTTGACGTCTCTGGAGCCATTTTAAGGCCTTTCAGAAGCTGTAAACAGTGCACTAATTGCTCATCTTGCCGGTAATTTTTCCATTTTTCCATATTTTTTTGGGTATCGGCACTTTTTTTTGTTAGTGTTTTGTTTCTGGGAAGTCAACTGTGGCGCCAGTTATTTCTGCATGTGAAATTCGCTTCCGTTGTAAATTTTATGAGATCAACTTCCTGCATGGTTCACTCATGATTGTTGACATAAGAATAGCGCTAGCATGTGAGCTGAAGAATCAGATGTGTATATGTGGAACTTTCTCGTGTAAGAAAAAATAATTGGCCAGCGCACTAACTACCGGTGCGAAGATGCGTTTTTTGCATTGTTCTTGGCAGGTTTTTGTCGCTAACGGCACTGTTTTTCCGAAAGATGCTTCTAACTTAGAGAACTGAGACTGGTCATCAAGACTGTCAGGAAACATCCTCTTAAAATTTCAGCCTTCTGGCTTAACAGCTTGCCCGTTAAAAACTTTGGCGGGTCCGTACGTGGCTACCACGCGAGTAAGTGCGCTCATTTTGGGGATTGGGGCCCGTACGTACATGTAGATTAATTTCCCAAAGTTTCAACGCTGTAGCTTTTATAAATCTTGAGATGAAAGAATCGGTACAGACGCACACACAGGCACACAATAGACAGCCTTTCGACAGTATGCGCTTTTGCATTGCATAGATGCAAAAGACGCATAAAAAGTGAGGAAGTAAGGAAAGAGCGAGTGCGGGATTTCAGTAGGCACATTGGCATGTGATGTAGATTCGTCTACTCCAATCTCTAATGAGTTTCTAACTACGTCGGCAGCGCTAGAATGAAACAAAAGCTGATCAGAATGTCTCCTAAGATTTTCTGTTTTCGTCAGTTTTGATGATTTTTTACTGTGTCTCTTTTTTTTTAATTAGTTAATTAAGAAGAAACGCAACAAGCACCACAGTCGATGTGGTGGAAATGGAACGAGCAAGCAATGAATCTGATGCTGGAAGTCAGGTTGGGCTGACCGGCCGAATACGCCAGTATCTGCCGCTAGTTCGAGGCAGACAGAGATCTTCTAGCCCACCATCAGGTGACATAATTCTAGCTTAGAATAAAATCTGAATAAATCTGCGAGAGATCCCGGGCTAAAGTAAAGAGTCCCTTTTACTTTGGCTGTCTGTTACGTCCGTATCGGTGTCTGCGTAGTTCAAAAATAAGCACTAGATAATAAAAACCTATTAATATACGTAGGAAGATATATATTAAAAAATAATAGGAAGATATATATTAAAATATACGTAGGAAGATATATATTAAAAACTGTTAAAATAGGAAGATATATTAAAAACGGATGAAAAGAGATGAACAGAAAGGAAGGTAGGAGATGAGAATTACAAAATTTGTAAATTAGTAAAATTGTTTTAATGGTAAGAAATTATATCGGTCCATTAACTTGTATACATTTCTTGCCATTACCACAACTGGACCTCGTCAGTATGATAATTGTGGTAATTGGAATTAGTAGATATTAAGATTAAGTCGTGTAATGAATGTTAATAGTAAGTATATATATTTTATAAAATGTTCTTATATTAAAGCACTAGATAAACTGGACATAAAAATTCACGAAGGCCCTGTAATCAGACATTTTAGTGGCGAAATATTTACCCTTTTTAGAAGAACGCAAGAATGACAAAAAAGGGCTTTATCGTTTTGTCACGCAGAAAATACTTCTTGGGCCTAGTGTCTGATTGCATTCGTTCGATGTCTTTCATCATTCCATGATCACATTTTTCAGTTATATGCCAACTTTTAACTCAAAACTGAGTTAGAATTTTCCCCTAGAAAGCTAAATTATATTACAGATGCTGTTCATACTCTCGCTCCCGACTACACGAATAAATACGATCTGAGCAATGAGAAGGAATTAGCACGACGCGAGAAGCGTGATCGTAAGGCACTCACGAAACGACTGCGTGCCAGAAGGCGTGCTGAATTGGCGATCATTGCAAAGCATGAAGCAAAGTATTTCTTTTTTTTTAAATCTTTACTTAGACAGACGAAGAATACATAGTTAACAGTAGTAAAAAAAGGGGAATCTGCAACACCTGGGAGCACTGGAAGGATCCAGAGGAGGGGAAGAAGCGAGGGGTTTTTCGTCACCCCCCTCCCCCCTCCTCCCCTTCCCTCCCAACGGGTCAGGTATCAGTGCTGCGAAAGCCCGGGTCTAAAGATAAAACTGAAGTAAGCTATGACCTGAAGTAACTCTAAACTAATGTAATTCTAAGTAACTGTGTTACAACTCTACTCCTAATTTTTGCATAATTTCAGAGTGAGAGGGGACTCTCCTCCTCATCCCTCCCGTCCCCCCTTCCCCTCTCCTCCCAGGATCCCCATTCTCCCCTCCACCAG